GGCAAGTCAAATTATTAAAATCTCATGATCTAAAACTTGTAAAAGCACTATATTTTTTTCTTCATCAGATTGCGTTGTACGCACTAATACTCGTACAACTATCTGAAAGATTCTTTTTATTTTTTAATTTTTTTTTTGCCCCTGTACTCGTATTTAAAAAGTAAATAAGAAAACTCAATTTGAGAAGGATTATCAGATTTTGAATATGATATGGTTACAGCCTGATATTAAGTAGGTTAGCAACTGGACTGAACTTTGCACTACTCGATAAAAATATGCGCATTAAAAAGCAGGCGTAGGCATTAAAAGTGACAGAGTTCATTTGGCATGAGCAAACAAATCCATAAAATAGTACCTCATGTGAACTCTTTCACGAGCATTCACATCCATATCTGCGTGATAGTAATCAGCCAAGATTCCCCTTTCCCGCAATTCGTTCGCAACCTTAAATATTTGAATAAATATATAAGAATATACAATATGCAATCTTTAAATGAAACTTTCAGTGGCAATCCAACCCAGCGGTCATCTGATGTGCAAATAATAGTGAAATTCATATATGAATCCTTTGATCTAATGAAATTTCATCAAGTGATCAGGATTCAGGATAAATCAAAGTCGAGCAAGTAAGAAGATCGTGTACCTGTTCACACTCTTTGCGAGAGAAGCAATATACTATCCCAGATTCACCATTGGGATATGATGTTTGTATATATTCAGCTATTCCATCAATCACTAACTTTCCAACTGATGATTTCTCCCTTACCTACAAAATATATTTCACAATTTTAAAGTTAAGTAGAACAGAAGAAATATGAATCTAAAATATACATATTCACATAATATATTAGGAGGAATAGAAATTGAAATTTATACCATGTAAAAGAGATTAGGCCTGTTGACAGAACTGACAAACTTGACGCATCTTTTGATGTGTAGCATATCCATTAGATCATCTTGTACTTTCTTTGTAGCAGTGGCCTATAACAAAGAAATTAAAAATATAAGCACTTTGTAACCATAAAGATTGTAATGGTATAGAAAAGTAAAATAACAACATGACATACAGTTAAAGCAACCACAGGAACATCAGGAAACTGAGTCTTCAATATACCAAGATTCCGGTAGTCTGGACGGAAATCGTGACCCCATTGACTACAACAATGCGCCTCCTGCATAGTAATTAAAAAAATATATAAAAAACGACATTAGCATGAGCTAAAAGTTATGAGCAGTCCTTACTCTTTCCGAACAAAACACCGGAAACAGAGGTCAATAATATCAACTATAATACCAGATTTCTTTTCAGATAATCATTTTAATCTTCAAGTGGCTCGATAGTTTCTATTATCTCAACAATTTGATAGAAGGTCTGAATTTCGATGCCGCAAGAAAGTGCATTCGGTTGAGAATGAACTTTCCGCAAGTCCTATATCATCGAGTTCAAACTTCAAGAATGAAAATGAACTTTGATCAAGTCCTACATCATTTGGTTGAATTATAAGTGTATTTTACACTTGATGAAGAATCTTCACTTGCCAAGCTCACCTCTTGGCAACTTCTAGACTTATACGTAAACTAATTTTAAGAAATAAAATACACATTTAGACACATCAAATTCAAAGATTCATGCACTTTGTACATACATCAATGGAGATAAGAGAGAGGCGACCAGCATGGTGACACTTTTCCAACTTCGACATAAATCTCTTGCTTTTTGATATCTTTTCAGGTGTAACATACAATATTTTAAGATCTCCTTCCCCCTTTTCTAGAGCTTTATAAATGAACTTTTCATCTTCCTTGTTTGTCGTGGATGTCAACATGAATGCTTGGATGCCTAAGGCAGCCAAACCCATAACCTGAAGCAATATAAAAAATTAGAACTGCATTCCAGTGGCATATCCTCAATTAACATTGAACTAAATAACAACCTGATCTTGAATAAGTGAAAGCAAAGGACTAACGACAAGAGCCACTCCCTTCCTAAGGACTGCCGGAAGCTGGTAGCACAGGCTCTTGCCTCCACCAGCAGCCATTATTACTAAAACATCCCTTCCACTCATGACTGCATTTATGATCTGTTCAAAAGGAACAGTTCAATCTGAAATTTAAACTTAGATAATACTTCATGAAATTTGGGGCAATTTGATGAAGAAAAATAATATATTGATCAGCATAGTTGGATGAAATTTAGCGGGTTCCTACAGTGTTAAGTAATTAAATTAAAGAAAGAACAGAAAAATATGCATGGTAGTCTGATCTTGGTAGCCAACAAGACAAACACCCAGGGTTGTTCATTCTGAAAGACACTGACAACTCTTTCTCACTGTCAAATGAGTTAAACTACATGCACATCAATTAAATTAATTGAACCACATATCCATAGCCATAGGGGCAAACCTATTACCATACATCCAATTAGATTTCCATACACAGACTTCACATTTATTCACGAACAATAATCTTAACTTAATTTACAAATTCAGCAGCCCGACCTCAGCCAATTATATTCACATGACCATGAGGAGTATCCTGGTGCGTTATCCAAAGATATTGTCCCAGTAGACCATGTCATGGCCTGAAACTAGCTCTCCTAGATTCTTGTACGTTTGATCCTCAAAACCATCGTACATTTTCTTCCATTAAATTGAACCAACTTCTACGTTGTCTAGATACCAACCATCAAACTCGACTGGAACATAGCCGAAGATGGAGGAAAAACAACATGCAGGCAAGATAAAGGTGTCTGGATCTGTTATTGCTAACCTCTCGCTGATTGGCACGATATGCTGATATGCCAAATATATTAAATCTAACATCATCAGCTTCGGAGTCCCACTCGAATGGACCCGACCAATTCTCCACCGAAACAGATGCCCCAACATCTCCATGGGTTTGAGATGCTTCTGTGTGTTCCAAAAGGGCTTTGAGTTCTGACTGCCTCTCTTGGAGATTTTCTTGCTGATCAAGAAGCAGCTTTATTTGCTCTGAACCAACAACAAACTCATAACAGTTCGAATTAGACACTATATATTGAAATTCAGATCATTCCGACGATGAACATGCAATCAAGTATTCAAGTTATCTGCTACATTTGAATTTCATAAACATAATCAGTTTAGTGAAAAAAAAGGAAAAATTTACAAAGACAAACTTTTTTTTCACCTCGAGCTGACACTAGGAATTCGAGAATCTAATGATACAATGTAAGTTTTGTGCTTCATCAAAAACCTATTGCACCTATCTTTCAAAATGTACATCATCAATGACCAAAGGTACCACTTATATATAGCTAATAAAATCATAACCAGATTACCATAGGAGTTACACCAAGTAATAACAACTGATCGACACACATTAATACATTATGTATAGAAAAAAACCATATTTAGGATGGGAAAAAGGTTGTCTTTTGCTGCGATGAACAGAGGACAAACGAAGAGCAGCAACAAAAAGGAAAAAAACAAACGAATTAACTCCGGAAGCATATGCCAATAAAATTTCAAAAATGGATAACCGGAAAAAAAATAGCAGCAAGAAAATGACAGAGAGAAAGTACTTTGAACGTCCTGAAGCTCCATTTCGACGGCGAGAAGTTCCGTCAAAATTTCTTCTGTTTCCATCCTTTTACCTTCCTTTACACAGCACTT